GAGTAATCTAACCAGTGTTTGAGAATAACATATATACCAGGTTACCTGAAGAAATCTGTAAATCAGAATTCTGTCATTCTGCCAGTAGTTTCGAATATGTATGTATCCACCTTAGTTGAATATTGCTTTAGTAGCTTGCCTGAACCATGGAAGGCCTTAACTATATAGTATATATTGTTTGTTTGCTTTGTTTTGTTTTGTTTAATTTTAAAACTTAAAACTGGATAAATCTGAATTAGTATCCATTTTGTCCACTCTTTTTTCCGTGATGTTCTGTAGTAAGTTGACTAAGATTTCCCTTGAGCAATGAAAGGAAGAAAAACATTACTCTCTACTCCTTTACCTGATTTTTTTTATGCTAAACCTTCTTAGTCCCTGAAATACTACTAGAATGAAAGAAATGTGCTGATTATTTTATCACTAGTTTTGCATTCAAAGAGAAAGGAGGTGCTCTCAAATTACAATCATTGCTTTTATTACTTTAAGCAAGATACTAAAACACAGGTATTTATGCTTCTTAGAGGTAAAGGTTCAAATTCTTCCAGCAGGAATTTTTTGAAAGTTGAAGACGGTATAATAGGTATATAGGTATTTAAGCACAAATTGATTGACTGCAAGGAAGAGAGAGAAGAGAGATTATTTATTGATGGGAAAAATTTGAAAGTAAGTATGCTATATAAAGAATTTCTCCTTATGAATTTAAGGAGTGTTTCCTATCAGTATAATTTTATTAATGAATATAAATTATTCAGTCATATTCTCAAATTTGTTGGACAATTTTAGTAGAAAATTTAAAGATCCTGCTTGTAGCAAGAAAGGAAAAAAAAAAAACCCCACATACCGTGAGTTGTGCTATTCCTGAATTTAACAGCTCTGCCCTTCCAACAAAAAACACTTGCCCATCTCCCCCATAACATTTACAGACATCAAATAGAAAATCCTAGAGAATCATGAGAAAACATTACCCTTTGTGATAAATTTTCTTACTAAGAGTAGATGACGAAAGACTTGCATTTGTTTAATTAAATAAGTTTTAAATGACTGTTCTTCAATGTCATAACAACAGCTTAGAATTAGTAGGAAAATAATTCATGGTTCTAGAGAGTTATTTGTTTTCAGTAGGTGATTTATATAAAATTAACAGCGGGAAAATCTCTTTTTTTAGATTATGCCATTGAATTCTTCATTATCTTGGGGCATGCTACTTTTTCTGTTTGTCCATTCTGTAAAATGAACAGATTCATATCTGCCCCAATGATTTCAATACAATTGTTGTGAGATTCAATTGAGATGCTACCTATGAAAGTTTTTCAGAAAGAGTAAAGAAGTCTACACAATTTAGGGTGTTGCTATTGAATCTATTATTGGACTCTGTATGGTTGTAATTTCATAAATATTAACAAATTGGAGAAGTAGAGCCAATCACCTGACTACCACCAGAAGAGGCAGAGTAGGGGCTGTCCCAGTTGTGAGTCACCTGAAGTCCCGGACTTCTGGGTCCTCAGACGGACTGTACACAGACTGGCCAAAGTGATTTATTAGGATCTTTTTAGCTCCATTAGCTTATAATTCTACTTAGTACCTCTCAACTACATTCTCTGCTTGTCTCTCATCCTTTAGAAATACTTTCCGCTGTAGAGATGAAGAATTTGCCCATGGCGACTTAAACAAATAGGGTGTTATGTTTCTGACATTATAAGAAATCCTGAGAGAGGTGCTAGTTAAATCAGGTGCAGGTTATACATCTAATTTTCTTGGCCTTTAACTTATTGTCACATGTAAACCATTATGCAGAGAATCAATGCTGGAATAATGTAGGCAGAGTGGCTTCTGTTACATTTGGACCATCTCCTGCGAGGGGGGCGGGTATTTCAAAGACTTTCATCAGATTTCTGTTTGCATCTTTTTGCCCATCTTTTAGCCATCATTTGGGCCATCCATAACTATTTGCAATCATATCTGTGTAAAGGAGTACTCAGCAGACTGTGATTCTAAACAAAATCAAAATTCTATCAGCAAAGCTGAAAGCAGGGTTAGGTGTTTACTATGTGACCAACAGTGACCATCATGTTCCTCTACTTAACAGTTTCTCTTTTCCTGTTTGTATTTGTGTATTTAATTATGCTACTTACAGGCCAGCTTTTACTATATTTTCCAATCTTTCTCAAATGAGATTCCTTCTGTGTAGCTCCTTCCAACAGCTCAGTCAAAATGGAATGCTTGCTCCTTGTGGCCTATGTTAAATGTCTGTTGCCGCCTTGTTATTGCAAGGCCCTTTTAAGATAGACAGAATTAGGGGCATTTGTATCTTCAAGGCTAACAGAAAGCCTGAACAAGAGTAGATAAAGGATTGCCAAGGATTTGTTAAACTGAATGTGCGTGTGTCTACCTACCTTTTACTAGTATTGTATCTAAGGTTATCGAATCAGATTTAGAGAAAATCAAGTTACTAGTTTGAATCACATTCTTAACTTCTAGGTTGATTTACTCTAGCTACTTTGAAGTTATTATTAGAAGTCCTGTGTTGTAGCTAAGAAGTGATTATATGACTGTCTTGTCTTTTCCTTAAATATCCCAGAGTATAGCCATTTATAATATTAACAAAAAGTGATTGAGTGTTTAGTGAATACCTTTACGCTAAATGTTGTAGAAGCCATAAAAACCTCCAATAAAAACATGCAGATAAGCTTACCAGCAACCAAAAAACAAAGTAGACGCCAACACTGCAACTCTATCTTTTAAAGACTCAGTATTGCTCTCTTGCAAATTTAAAGGCGCTCAATGAGCTAAACTGAAACCAGAAGTTAAGTGTTTATACTTTACATCATTTTCCCCTGAGGCAATATGACATGAGATATGAGTGGTGGTTTCTAACCTGTGCTCAAGAACAATGTTCAAAAGTTTATAATCCTAATCCGTGTTTGGTTAGGACAATAGAATTTATCTGTGTGGCTCTCAATGTGGCACCAAAATTTGTTTGATTTAGGTAATCCGAATGCAGCCATTCTTGATAGAAACTAGAAAACAGCAAGACTAGATTAACGAATGCTATCATCTTTAGTTATTGTAATCATGGGTCTTAACAGTAGATTTCCCTTGGCAGTGTATTTTTTAAGAAACATTCAGTAGGAAGACCCACTGTTATGGATATAATGTGTCACCTTTCAAAATGCATTTAATGATTATGAAAGTTAACATTTGTCCACACAGGTTTACTTGCATGCAAATAACCTATTATTCACAATATGAAGTTGATGAAGGAAAATTCTGAGATTCAGTGATAAAGGCAATCTATAGAGTATATTCTCTATGTCAGTGTTTAAGTCATCAAATCTCAATGTAGCATCGACATTGAGTTTTAGAGATTTAAGAAATCATTAACTTCCAAAGATAATCTGGAGGAAATTTAAAAAATTTAGAGCCTGAATTGAATCCTCAAAACAATGTCAGGAGACTTCTTGCAGGATTTTCACGGTGATTTCAGTTCCCAATTTAATTCTCGTATTGGATCACATGAAACATTACAGCATTTTGAATTTAATATACAGATTAAGCAAAACTAATATAGTAGAGGCATATTTCTGTTAAAGCAGTATATATGAAGAATGTTAAATGGGCAGCTGAAATCAATACTTCATCACGAGTTAATTGGACTTAAAGAAATGTCATTCAGAGATGTCTAGAAAAAAAGATGACACTCTTACTTATGAAGCTTTACTCTGGGCACCTGGGTGGCTCAGTTGGTTAAACCACTGCCTTTGGCTCTGGTCATGATCCCAGAGTCCCACATCCGGCTCTCAGCTGTGCGGGAAGTCTGCTTCTCTCTCTGACCTTTTCCCCTCTCATGCTCTCTTTTACTCTCTCTCCCTCTCTGTCAAATAAATACATAAAATCTTTTTTAAAAATTAATAAAAAAAAAAAAAGCTTTAATTTTGGAGAACCTGGGTATTTTGGTTGGTTAAGCAGCCCACTCTTAACTTCAGCTCAGGTCATGATCTTGGTGTCTCTCACTAAAATAAATAAATATATTTTTTAAAGATTTTATTTATTTGAGAGAGAGAGAACAGGAGCACAAGGAGGGCAAAAGGGGAGAGCAGAGGGGGAAGAGGACTCCCCGCTGAGCAGAGTAGGGAGCCCTTCCTGGCTCCATTCCAGGACCCCAGGATCATGACTTGAACCAAAGACAGATGCTTAACGAACTGAGCCACCCAGGTGCCCCTAAAATAAATAAATCTTAATAAAAAAAAACAAAAAAACCAACTTTAATCTAGTAACAATTCACAAGTAGATCAGTTTAAATAGAAACTATACCTCCCATGTATTTGAGATATAGACAAGGAACTATACTGAAATAGAAATTACACCTCACTATGTTTTTGAGATTCAAACAAGGAAATATATTAAAATCTCAGTTTAAGCCATTGCTATAGAAGTTAAGGAACAACACTGTCAAGGCAGAAAAAAAAAAAACAACACAGCTCCTGGGAACCACGCATCAAGAATCTTAAAATAACAAAGCCACGATTTCTTCCTTCAGTTGCTTACAATTGTGGACATGGAGTTGTACACACAGAAACCCATAAAAACCGAGCGAGTATGTAGTGCAGGGCTAACTGTAGTACAGAAAGTGTACACATTGCATCATGTTTTAAAAGGGGATGGCTACATGATGACATGGCTTTGCTGTATTTTCTCCACAAATAGTTCAATGCCAAGGAAAGCTGTGAAAACATGAGCTGGAAATTTCCTCACACTCTGGTGCCAAAATAATCTAAATCTTCGGGTTTTTTTCCCCTTAACATTTGGTGTAAATTCAAATGTATATGTGGAGAAACGATACTGGGCCACATTATTTGCTTCTGTAAGTTCTGGGGGGTGGTGGGGGTGGATTTTTATTCATAATGAATGCATACCCTAACATTCTGAAATCTGTTTGACATATTTTCAAAAATACATTTTCAAAATTATCTCAGAATTTAAAAGAGCCATTTTGTTTGTAGCTTGCCGACCAGGTTTCTACAAGGCTGCGGATGGTAATATGAAATGTGTCAAGTGCCCACCCCACAGTTCTACTCACGAAGATGGTTCAGTGAACTGCAGGTGTGAGAATAATTACTTCCGAGCAGACAAAGACCCTCCATCCATGGCTTGTACCCGTGAGTAGTTTTGCTGCAACCCATGCCTCCATGTTTGTTTTATTTTTAATTCTTGTTATTGCACTTTTTTATTCTTTTTTTTTTTTTTTAAGCATTTGGCCCATTTCCTTCCGTTATCCATGTGCAAGTTGAAAGCTTTCTCTGCTTCACTCTCCATGCTTGGCTCACCACAAATGCAACATTTATCACGCAAAATGAATTAGTTTTTAAAGCACTTCCTGCAACAGGACCCCCAGAAAGAAGGAGAATTTTCTTTATCTTGGTTTAGATCTTGTATTACATTTGACAGAATAGGGGAGGTTATAGTCATGGGATTTGTGTTTTTACATTTCTATTCCCTCTTGTTATGTGTTGGTCATAGGTCATAGGGAAAAAGGACTAAGATTTATAAAACTAATAGTAAAGTTTTCATAACTATTCACGAGGGCATTGAATTTAGTAGTAAATTCCCTTGTTGGACTATGTGAATACATCTTCAACTTGAATCAAAACTCCCCCGTTCATGGCTTAGGGAGGACAGTGCTCTTGAATCCATGTGTCTATAATCTCATGGATCCTCTAAGGACGAATTAAAAGTATATAATAGAGACAAGATGGTTATTTACCTCTTTCAGTTCCATTGTAAATTATCTATTTCCCTTGTAGTAGAAAACAGAAGTGAGGCTCATTAATCTTTGTTGAACTACTTTGCAGGACCTCCATCTGCACCAAGAAATGTTATCTCTAATATAAACGAGACCTCGGTCATCCTGGACTGGAGTTGGCCCCTGGACACAGGAGGCCGGAAAGATGTTACCTTCAACATCATATGTAAAAAATGTGGGTGGAATATAAAACAGTGTGAGCCATGCAGCCCAAATGTCCGCTTCCTCCCTCGACAGTTTGGACTCACCAACACCACAGTGACAGTGACAGACCTCCTGGCACATACTAACTACACCTTTGAGATCGATGCCATTAATGGGGTGTCAGAGCTGAGCTCGCCACCAAGACAGGTCGCTGCAGTCAGCATCACGACCAACCAGGCTGGTGAGTACATGCTGGAGGCTTCCTACTCCTGCCGTCTCCGAGCCAAGTAATGGTTTTGACAGAGGGGGTGGAGAAAAGGGTGAGAAAACAATTTTTTAGAAAGACCCCCAGAATTTTCTTTTCGGTCACATTTAGACAGTTATGCTACATTGAATAACTCAATTTAATTCTTTAAGTTGGAATAATCATATTTTTTAGATAATTTTAAACTGGTTTAATCCATTGCTTTTCAGTAGGGAATCTTAAAATAATTGGAACACTGGAGATGGTACTTGTGGGCCTCCTTGACACATTTTGATATTCCAAAGCACTTAACAGACATTGAAACGTAGCTTGCAAAAGGTTATGCAGAATACTTAAAACTAGAAATACCTTTATCTATGTTATAATTATATCATATTTTTATATCACTATTCAGCTATTTTATGCTCCTCAGTAGCTCTGAGTGTTATTTGCTGAGATTATTCTCTGATTAATAAAAAAATAAAATAAACCCATTTTATTTGATAGATATAATTTGTACTTAAAATTCAAAGAAACTTGTGGAGAAGCGTAGTGAAAAGAGGTCTTAGTGAAGAACAGTTGAAATCACTGATCTAAAAATTTGCAAATATAAATTACTTTTATATTTTCCACTGACAATCTTTTTCCAATTGAAACAAAATGCTACATTGGCAGGTTGTAAGACAATGCCCTTTAATAGGAAATGGAAAAATTAAACAATAAGCAAACTTCTCACCTTTCTTTGTCTTTACATCCACAACGTTTCTGTTCTCTTTACTATTAGTAAATCTTGTTCTTTCAGTCACCCCTTAAATCTTCTCTGTGTTTTCTCCTTCTCTGGTAATTCTTGACTATGGCTTTTGTGTTTTTGTTTTGTTTTTTACGCAGTGAGGAGTCCAAAATTATTTATGGGATTTCAGTTGTGATTCTCTCAAACATATGGAAAGGTCATACTTGACAAAGTCTACACATGTGACACACCAGTGGTGCCCCTTTGAGATAAGGTGATCACAGTGTTTCCATTATTGATAACTGTGATGAATGAGAAATAAACCGTTTTCTTTTGTAGGCAGCAAAGCCTGTGCAAAGTTAAGCTGATGCTCATTGTATAAAATTGTTGCTCTAAGATACTGTAATTAAGGATACTACCTTCCAAGCAGCTCAAGACAGAAATATCATTGATCGTTTATATGGAAATAAATAATGGAGTCAAAGGGGGAGAAAAGGAAGAGACAGAATGTGCCCTGAGAATGCTTCAACTAGAACTACAGATTCTTGGGTCTGCTCCCAGGTGGGTTCACCTTGGAGCTGGAAGTCAGGATGGAGAGTCAACTTTGCCTCTTACCTGCATGTGGCTTGAATTTGGAAGCCCCTCTGCTGTCTCATGGGACTCGCCCTTTGCTCTGAGGTGGCAGGAGGTGTACTAGATGGCATTGGGGAAGGTAAAGAGAGCTGATTAAATTCTCTCTTTGGCTGGGAAAAGTCTTAGAGCAGCAGCCAAAAAACTAGCTAAAAGACAACACTTTCATTTCACTTGGCTGGCTCAGGAAGATTAGTTAAATCACCAAAGTTGCACAGTTAAGAGCTGTCATCCAGGGCTAATATTCCATAAATATGCATCAGAATGAGTCTGCTCGTGGTTAAAATTTTGCACCACTTCTATACTAGTTCAAAGTAGTTCTAACTACTTCTGCAGGTGAGTTACACAAATAGCTCTGTATTGGTTCATTTCTCAGGTACCCTGGGTAGCCTGCTAAACCCAGTGTCTCAGCTCTACTTGTCCTCTCCCATAATTTGGCAACCAAAGGATAAATGCTGGCATAAGGCAGGGGGTGGGGGGAGGTCTTTGCAGTCCTGCACTGGAACTCCTCCTTCTTGAGGGGACCTTGTCCCTGCTATGTGATTAATAGGTATTTTGATTATTATCCCTGGCAGAGTCCATGTGCAGACGTCTCCCTATCTGATTTCACACCCCTCTTTTTTTCCTACTTTGCTTCTGCTCGCCTATGCTGATGGAACTCTTATACTTTTACATTCTCTCTTGGTGATAAGTAAACTTTATTTGTGGAAAAGCCATGACTTTTAAATGAAGTGTGCTGTGTCATTATTTTAATCTGATTTACTGAATCTACTTTTCCCCACCAGAGTCTAGATCCCAGACCAAACAACATGTGTTTTGCTTCGCTTCAGTTAATGGTATTTAAACTTCATAACTGATAGTATTTAAAAATTTGTAACTTAGGTTTACTTAACTGTCTTCCATGAGAGAAAGAGATGAGTAATGCTGTTGCTATATATTGCATGATTACAGCTTCTCATATTCAGTGAACACAGGGATTTTAAGAAATTATAATTATGTGGCACATGGCTTTCCCAAATCCTACATTTCATGCTGATTTACTACCTTGTTTAAAATAGGAGCATCAATCTGTGTTATAATTATCTCCCAAGTCAAACAGCAACGTATAAAAACAAGCAAGAGCTCCTTATTTCCTATCTTATCATTGGCCTCTGGCTTTCTGACAATGCATTTATCAGGAAACTAATAGTTCCAGATATATACAGTGAATGAATCGAGGTAAGGGCAACCAAGAGCAGGCCAAGACATTAAAAAATAAATGGGGTTGATGCTTTGGCCCTCCCAGTTACAAATCACGAGGTAAGACAAATTTAACAGGGATGATATCAGTTACTCTCTCTAACCCCACTATCATTTTTGTAAAAAATTACAATTTGTCTACACTTTGCACCACTAAGCACTTTATATATTTATTTCAGGGTGTCTGTATCATTCCATGTGCCTGGGGTGATAAAGGTCTTTGTTCCATCTTCAAATCCCCACAGTAAGATATATAACCAAGATTAGGAGCAATGCCATTTCTCCAGGGAGTGTTTCTTTGTTTTGCTTTATTTTTGTTCTTGTGAAGGTTAATGGACTGGTAGCCTTGAAAAATGAGCTCCTACCACTAGAAAGATATGGCTGTGACAGATATGATGCCATGGTGTTTAAATTCCTCCTAGGCTCTCTATCTTTGACAAGGATATAAAGGAGGAACGTGAATGTGTCCCATTTAATTTAGTTTCTGAGATTGAGTTTGTTGATTTTTCCCTTGATTATATTGTAAAAGCCTTGCGATGACCACATGATAAGCCACCTTCTAAATTGTAGAGGATTATGTTGTAAATTCGGATATTTGTTCAATACTTTCACATAGTATGCCAGTGAGATCAAAAGCATGGACTCTACATAAAGATTGTATCTATCTGTGAATCTGGCAAACATGTTCAGAAGGAATTGCAGATTGTGAAAAAAAAATCTGTAAAGTTATAACTTGGTGTAAATTGTGACTTCTTGTTTTCTTCCCTGAATGAGTGTATTTACTTCTCAGTTCTGGAAATAATCATTCCACTAGTGGACTGTCTGTCTCAGTTTATTCTCAACCTCCATGCTAGCAGCTGCCCACTTTTCACTATCCTATAACATGTGATGATCTTAGTCTAAAATAGGGATCACTAATAGAGACTTTAGGGCCTTTCGGTTCTGAGGTTCACCCACCCCCATTTTACAGCTGGAAAAACTGTGATCCCAGAGGCCTTTTCAACATTTCATCAAGAGATCAAACTTTTCATTTATGTCTCCCAACTCCAATTCCATTCTTCTATCCTCAAATTCTTTCTGTCATCCTGTGATTCATGCCATGTGGCTACAAAAATAAATGCTTAGCCATGGAGACAGAGAGGGAGATTGTTGGAACATTTTCTCTAACTTATGCCATCCCTAGTAAATTTGGTCCTTGCTTCTCAGTCATCTGTCAAAGAGTTTCTTAGAGTGTTCTGTGCTCGACCATCCTTATCATCTCTACTCTTCAGCAAACCTAATCTCAACCTTCATGCCCTCATTCTCCACAGATGATTTTCCCTCTGGGATACTATGATTTATAATAAGAAATAATACATTTGGTCTTCGTCCCAGTTCAGGACATAATGCTCCTAAAACCCCTGGAATTTCTTAAGTGATGAGAGTAATAAAGGTATATTTTGTTATTCATAATAACTCCCTCCAACCAGGCCTGCATTTATGTTAATGAATCAGCTTTTGGAAAACCCCTAAGGATGGGGTCTGATTGCCAGAGGAACCAAACCCTGTGATTAGAAGGTTGAAACTTGGGCGCCTGGCTGGCTCAGTGGGTTAGGCCGCTGCCTTTGGCTCAGGTCATGATCTCAGGGTCCTGGGATCGAGTCCCGCGTT